GTCCCCCCCCTTCCTGCTCCCCGCGCCCCCCCGATGGAACGCGAAACGACGGCCATAATCGCCAGGCCGGACAGTCGGCAACGATTTTTCCTGTAGGACATTTATGGCCGGCCGGCAACTGAGATACGGTCCATTGTACTCTCTTTCCACCGCGATCCTGCTGCACGGTGCACTCTCCCCGATGCGGTTGATGCGCCGTGTGGCCGCCTCTGTCTGCCCATTGCAACCGTATTCTACTACCTAGGCTTTTCTACTCGTGTTTCCCGCCTTTGACGGTCGCAGACGCTAAGCGTTACTCGTTTAACTCGTCCGCACAATTAGCCGGGCGAGCCCCGCGCGCTCGTTTTGCATTCGAATGCAGAACCCGAGTACCCTTTATCGGATTACCGGTTATTGTTTTCCCAGGATCCACTTTTTCAGAGCCGTCGACTTCGACCGCGCCGTCGCTGAAGTCACGGATGCCACACGCGATTGCAGTAAATCTTCTCTTAAATGCTGTCGTTATTGGTAGCTAATATTTATTATCTATACAGCAGAAAATGTTATATCGGAGAGCACGAAACGATTCCCCATGGAAAAGTGGACAGAAAGCATGAAATAAAATTTTTTTACCCGAGGTACTGTTGCCGACAAAATGGCGCGAGAAAACTGTCTGCGCACAACTGGATGTTTCCCCTTACGCGAGATTAGAGCGACTCCCTTAATTTTAGAACTCGATTTTCTCAATTACCAAACTTCGTACGCAGAAGTTCCGCTGACATTTCTCAGTCATTTTTCTCTAACTAATTATCTAACGAATTAAGAATCGCGTTCTCGCGTAATCTATCACTTCCACGGTGTGTTCGCGCCCAAGAAATTACCCAAGGAAACCGAGTTAGCAAATCCCATTGTTAAAATTCCATTGTCACGAAAGACTGCTGCGTCACGGTTTCCGCAAGCGGTTTTACGGTTCCAGATCGGTGTAACCTCGTCGGAAAATCGAGATCCGAGAGATGCCGATTAAGTCGTAAGCATCTACGCCGTGATTCAGCAAATTCTACGACTCCCATTCATTTTCAGCCTAATATACAGAGCGGCGGGATTCGCTACCGCGCGTTGAACGACCTCGTAAATGCTAGACCATATCCAGTCCCTCGTACCGATATTGCTCATAGTGGCGGGCAACCTATTAAGAATTTCCACCGCCACAATTTTGTTCGTTTATTGCGCCGCGTTGCTGTAGCCTCTTACGTTTTATTGGCGGATTTTCTGCGAGGCTGCTTTCAGGGTGCGCCGCGCCGCGCCGAGTCAATTGAGATAGGCCCTAGTTTAGGGTCTCCCTAGGCCTGCCTAGAGAGCATAGGTGAGAGAGAGAGAGGGAGGGAGAGCATACTCGGACAGAGGCGACGATATTAATTTATCCGGGAGAGTCGGAGCCGGATAAGGTATCCTTTTATCGGCCGGTTGCTAACAAAATATTCGAAGACTTCGTTGTTACCTCGCGTTTCCTGCAGCCAACAGGTTACGGCATAGGTGACTCTCTAGCAGCAGGTTCAACGCTTCCATCGTTCCCTCCAGGCGTTGTCCACGCCGAGCATCCTTGGACCAAGAAAAAGAACGCGAGGGGCACGCACGATAAAATTCCCAGAGGCCAGCAGCGTATCTCGTTATTCCGGGATCCGCTCGCAAGAACAATCGATGATAATTGCTGATAATTACCACTCGCCGAAAATTACGACCCCGATGTTTTTTTGTGCCGACTCCCGTTTCGCCTAGGGATTCTATGGACAAGGTTCGACGAACCGGAGGAACATTGACCCTCACGGCACCGTAATTTGGATGACGATCGAGGAAATAGAGGGCCATGCGGGCGAACAACTGTCTATTTTGCTAATGAGCCCAGTCTTTGGTCGAGTCACTGTAACTTTGAGAAAAATCACTGTTTTCGGGTGAAATAAATTTTGTTATATTCGTCGAAGATTGTGGAATACGTCTATAAAGTTTAATGTTAACGTATCCGTTGGTTTTGTTTGAGAAAATGCACAAAGTTGGATCATCTTCGACGGTGAAAGTAACTTTGGTTAAACTCATTATTTTTACGTGCAACAAATTTTGTTATATACTTAATAATCTCGAATAAGTAGATAATAGTACGTCGACGTGCTTAAATTTATTTAATCTCTTCACAGTTTGATATTCGACTTACTCATTTCTGTCATGAATGCATAAAATCTGCAGTTCTAGGAAAGATAGCGTAGATCTTCCAGGAAAAAACGGCGGAGCCTAATGTCATAACCTGTACGAATCTTGTTGTCTCGCGAATTCGATGACTTCGAGGAATGTTATCTGGTCCGTAAAACGCTGACTGCCAGGAATGGCACGCAGCGTGACGGACCTCGGGGACGTCGCGTTCTTCTTTAGCTCGCAGAAATGGCATCTTTTTTCGAAGATCGTGTGTCGATTGGAGGATATTACTAGGAGAACCTGTTGCCGGCCGGTCACGCGGAAAAATATAACGCGCATATGCGTGCGACGAAGCAGGACCGGGAGACGAGGACGGAGACGAAAACGAAGACGCGCCGAGAAGATGCGCCGGGCAGATGCGGCAAGGCCGAACCCCCGGAAAGATGATTTGTGACGATCCGAAAGTCCCTGCTACTTGTCACTCTGGATTTACGATGCAGTTTGTATCGCCTTGCTTATCATCGCGAATACGGGCGCCATCAACATGTGTAAATGCGCTCGTACTGCTTACCGCTGCAAATCTTATCAGGATCGATCATTTTTCCGCAACGGAACCTGTTATCAGAAAACTAAGCTGTTATCGGGAAACTAATACCCAAGATTTTTGGGAGAGAACAAGACGATCGTTCGCTCGTTTAATGATTCTGCTGCTCGTCTGGAATTTAGTTTCTTTTTAACAGAGACGATCTCCTTTCTTCTATGCATTAAACGATACTTTAATAAACTACGGCGGCAGGGAAGGTTCGCTATCTAAAAGCGGGCCGCCTGGAGTGTGGGAAAAATGGCACATTGGCATAGTAATTGAAAATGTAAGTTACGTGACAGAACTGGTTTGGGTTCAGGGTCTCGGCTGCATTTCATCGTTCCGAGTCGATCCGCGTAATGACTTTCCAATGCAGGGGATGGAATCGATGAGGATAGGAACTACGAGAGCGTATTTCAGCAGTCCCAGGACAAGGATCGGGGATCATACCGGCGATAATGGCCTCGAATAATGGATATCGAGAGATCCGAACGTACTAATTGCGGTATCCCCGGGAGGTTTCAATCCGCGGTAATAAGCGTAACAGCGCGTAATGAAACCAGTTTCCATAAGCACCACGCGAAAACAGTGGTCAACCGACCATTTCTCGTGAATAGAACGGGGACAGGCGGTACACACGTCGAAACTGTGTCGGCTTTTCGGGACGGTCGACAAATTTATGCTCGCGGAGGACCGATTTTATGAAACTTCGCGCCGTCTCTTTCTCCGATATCGGGATACCGTTAGCGTTCAGGGACTTTTGATTCGTTTCAAAAATATGCGGCCCCTCTCGGCCGATCTTCTTCTTCTTCTTCTTCTTCTTCGCTATAATGGAGAATTGAAACTCTATCTGGGTCATCGCCGATAAAGAACGCTAATATGTAACGATCATCGTTCGTTTTATTAGGTTTTGTTCAGCCAACGTTCCACGAGATATCGTACTCCGATAGAGAACGCCGATATTAATCAGGATTTCATTTTATTAGTACCGATTCCGTCCGATGTTGGACAAGATAACGATTTAATTCAATGCGTTCTTTATACAGCCAATGCCATGCAAGATAACACGTGCTAGCGTGCGTTGATATGAAACGCTAAAATATAAGCGGGATGGATAATATATAAACATCGAGTGCAGCAAACGATTCTTGGAAATTGCGAACCTTTATTTTTCAACAAATTCCAAGTACGTAGATAGTACAATCAGAATAGGAAACGCGATAAGATCCTGCAACGTCATTAGTCTATTTTTACGTGACATAAGACAAACGACCGTAAATAAAACTGTTTGTTCCAATTAGGCAACGATGTTAAATAAATAGTACCGTGAAATCGAAGTAATAAAATGAATAATCTGAAACATGAAGAAGACAGTTGCGGTAAAATAAGCTTGATCGAGAGTGCTGCTTTCGCCTAAATTTTAGTGGGATTTGGCAGACGTGCAAATCGAGTTACTCGATTCTCAGAAAAAAATCGATAAAAAAGGATTTCGGGAGACTTCAAACGAATGAAATAACTGTGTGAGAAAACAGGTGGTAATTCGATCAATGAAAGAACCGTATTCCGTCCAATTTTTGCATCGGGAGACTGGTTTCAGCTTCGAAGGTCGCGAGGAAGGGTCCAGCGAAGGTTCGGCCGTTCCTAATCGGTGGACCCAGTTCTTCGTCGGGCGATTCCAAGCGAGCTGTGAAAACTCATCGACGGCGGGCGACAATGGGAGACTCTCGGAGCCTGTTCCCGTCAGAAAAGCGATCGGTTCGGTTGGTCCGGAGCCGGGGCACCGGCTCCTCGGCCCGGCATTGGCTCCGGTGTAATGTGTAACAGCATCGAGCGTGTAACGACCGGGACGGTTTGTGCCCCCTACCACCTGGACGGAGGAGCCCACGATTCCCTCTTGTGTGTACACGCAGACACGCATACGCACGCACGTGCAGGGGGTACCGACGTTACGTAGACATTGAACACACACGTGGAAGCCAATTGGAGAGCCAAGACTTGGCCAAGTCTTTATAAGTAGGAGCCATCCGCGTCCTCAGGACTTACTCCCTCTCGAGAACGTGCCGCGATCGGCAACCGATTTCCAGAATAGTTCCTGAAAACACGCCGGCCTGCACGCGTCGCCAGCGAGAGAGGATCTCGTGGATATCGGCGGTGGATCTCGATCATCCCTCGGAACCCTTGGGAAATCGACGTCGCGAAATGAAGAGCGCTCGTTGATTCGGATTTAGAGCACTGTTCATCCTGATTAGAGGTGAGTGCAACAAAATCTCAAATTCTATCGATTCGTAGTGATCTCTCGTAGAACCATCGAAACTTCCAGTCGATTCCGAAAGAACCGTGACGCGAGTGAAATTTTTCGTAAATTTAGGAACAATGCAAACGGTGATTTTTTCACAGTGTCCCTCTCGGTAATTAAAACTTCTTTCAATGCTGTGCTCTTGAGTTTTCCCGGAGTGCTTCGAGTTGAAAGATTATTCAGAAAGTGGTGAGCATTTCCCAGAGTAGACGAGCTCGGATTTAGGTGCCGTCTCGGTAGAATTCAACCGCGCCTTATTGACCCTCTGATTATGATACATTAGATAACTGCAGTCAGTTTCGAGGCTGTACGGTTGAGTCAGCGGATCGTTTCGTATTTTTGCCACGCGTGTTAATAATGATTGGGCGTAACAGTGACGTCAAATAATTTTGGCGGCGTTCGCCTTGATCAGCATCTCACCGCGGGTGTCCTTGGGTGCATCGACGTTTAATATCTCGGACGCGTAACGCGTCGATAATTAAAACGTAGCTTTTAATCCGACGAAACGGATCGGACGTTCCCGCGGTCCGGAACATTGACCGTTCATTGATTAACGCGCGCCGCGATAACGTCGATGTAATTAAGCTCGATAAGTTTCTCCGTTGCTAAATGCTCTCCACGTACCTGTAATTAGTCTCGATTGCACCTCGTTCGACGCTGCTCTCGCCGGTGACTCATGTGCGGATTGCTTTTGCTGCGAACCCTGAACAGGTCCTTGTTCGTTTTATTCGGATTCGTTTTTTTATTCATCGACGAGAAAAAGATTTTTGCGTGCAGTTCCCTTTCAACAATTTTTAATGTGTTCGGAGGAATTATTGTAGAATAGAGAACCGTATATTATTCATCGATACTGTTAATTCTAGTGTTTCTTCAGAATTTATGACCTTGAAGAGAAAAATTCGTTAACGTCGTCGTCATTATTATTGAGCTGTCTCGTCTCCGTCGTAAAGTTTATAGAATAGCCCCCATATAGTGCAGTAGAAGTATCCATATAATACCACATACAGTAAACCATATAATTATTTGCCGATGATCCCAGCGCTTATTTACGATGCGTTTCGGAATTCGACGTACAATGTAGGCAAAGAAATTATCTGACGAAGAAAACGGCCGTCCACTCGACGCCGAGCCGGTTGATTCGCAACAGTTGCTTCTAATTTATTCCGAGTCCGGGTTAAGCAAACTTTGGGTTTACAGAGTGACACGAATGTGGCCGTAACGAGCCTCGAAAAGCCACTTAACGTCACGTAACTGTTTCACCGGGTTACAAACACGATTTACAGCGGTTACAGCGTGTCGGTGACGGACGTGTCCGAAAATTCCCAACCCGATCGAGGATTCGCGTCACGTCCGGCCGGCCGAAAAATCGCGGGCTGTATTTGGATCGGCATTCCGGCCGAATCGATTCGTGGCATTGAGTCGATCTTGGCTCCCGCGTTCGCGATCGCTGCAACCGGCTCGGCCTCGACATTGACGCGATCCATAAGCGGGAGTTCCGCCATAAAGCGATCGTAAAAATATTTTGGAAGATCGAGCGATCGGAAGCGGAATACAAAGGAGGATCATCGCGGGTTTTCCACCGGAGAATCTTCGCGATAGAAATGGAAATTGGCCGTGAAAAAAATACCTTTGTCTTCTGCGGCCAGGTATGCCGGCAGAGCTGTCGCGTTTGATCGATGCGTGCAGGAGTGTTGCACGCGCGCAACTTTTAATGGAATACAGAGTTGTGGAGTAACGCGCGACGGGCGAGGATGCATTATGCACACGGCGCGCGGCGCTTTTTCACCGCCTTTAACGAGCCATTCTTCCCGGGGCCCGCGATAAAAACAACGAATCCTCGAAGGACATTCCACTCTGCGAGCGACCGGTTGCTGGTTCACGGAGCTTTTTCTGACGCCGACGGATTTATTCGATCGTCCCCCGGACGAAAACCGCGACTCTTCCCGACCTTTTACGTCACCCGGTCGATGAATCGCGGTTCTTGCCGATCCCGTCGTTCGTTCCGTCGCTATTCGTCGGCGCAGGTGCTGCGCGAAAGAAAAAAAAATAATATCGAGATTAACGATTCCTCGTTATAGAAAATCGCGGAAAAGCCTGGATTATTAGCGATCGTAATTGTAGCGGAACCTTGGGAGATTCTAGAATTCGACGCAAAAAACCCGATCGTTTTCCATAGAAAAAGAAAAATTCGCGGTGAGTCACGCTATTATTTCACTTCTGCTTGCCGTAGAGCACTGTTACTCTCGTTGGGTAATTACTATCTCGTTGGTTTCTGCAATCCTAGATCGATCTGCTAATTGACGCCTCTGACGTACAGAGCGCCGATTGAATTATCGAATCGCGCCGATTCCTCTCAAAAGAACCGCTCGATTCCGTAAAAACCGTTCCAGATAAAAGCACTCCGTTAGAGTTTGCAAACCCGCACAGATTGCGCATGCAAAAGGATGCACAATCAGGACGCTATCCTTGCACAATCCATTCAGAAACACGTTCGAAGTCCGCAGACCCGGCTTCGAGATGGTTACACGGATTGATTGTGCGATCTACCGATAGAATCGCAGGTTCGATCATCGGCACCTCTCGATCGGACACGTCACCGTCTCGTTAAAAACGGCAATTCAATTTCCTGTTGCGACGAAAATGCAACGCGCGCCATATGCGAGCTTCGACCAGCTCTTATCGAACCGGCCCGTTAATAGCGCCGTATTAATAGCGCCAAACAAGGCCCGGGCTTTCTTTTCTCCCCTCATTGATTCAACTGTAATTACGCTCTATTTACGTCGACGTTCATTCTACGCTGGGATTTCTCATTTTCTCGCGGGCCCGGGGGATCGAGACGAGAGGATCGAGGGCCTTGAACCTCGGGCCGGCGCGGCGCGGCGCGGCGGTACCGAGCCCGCATGCGATGCATGATAAATCCTCGAGCAGCGTTGCGGTCGCGAATAAGGGAGATAATGGAAAAATGAAGAGGACGATGCCGAGCGGGACACGCGGGCTGCACGTGCAATTTCCGAGTATCCCTTTAATTGCGGAACGCCGAGGACACAATTACCTCCGTCAAGGGACATGTTCGCCGCGAGCAGCCTAGAAAATACCCCGTCCGACCGTGATTGACCAGTGACGTCGCATCAGATGCTAGCTGCCACTGTAATACTCGGTTTACACCGGGCAACACTGATTACAGCTTCTCCAGAAACGAACGTCAATTCGGAATAATCCGGAGAAATTATAGGTCGAACGCACCGCAGGATTTTGCCTTCGATTTTTAGAATACGCGCTGATTTAAAGATTAAGAAATTATTTAATACATATAAAATAGTATGCTGCGCAGAAATACGCTGTGAACCGAGTCCATTTCTGGGTCTAAGAGGGCTGAAATAAATAGAATGTATAAAATATTATGCTGCGGATTTTGAAAGATCCGTGAAGTAACAGCGCACAGCCCTCAAAATACTGTCTGTAGCTATAATACAAGATTGGACACGATGGTAGCAAACGCCAAAAAATAATAGGACTAAATCTACGAAGGAGGACGAGTGCAGTAGAACGAGACGTCCAACGTCAGACGTTTCAGGATCGCGTCTAGACGAAAATCCGTGGAAGCAGTTCTACAGAGCTCGCGATTCTCACGCCACTGCTCGTCGCGGGATATGAAAGAGAAGGGAAAAGCGTGATCGGTGGGAGAAGAAACGGCCTTGCGACTTTCAGCGGCAAGGCTGCACTTATTGTAACGAGCAGGCCGTCATAACGATCGCCGGTTCACTGCACCGTGCACCGGATCGCAGCCGCATGCCGCGCCGCGGCGTCTTCGTCAGCTTTGCATCTCGGGCGTCGATTAGCCTTATCATCGTTTACAAGAGCCTCGGGCCCTCTTTCTAGCGAACCGGATCGATCATGCCGCGCACTCTCGTTTTCGTTTCGTTCGGATTGCCCGGTTTGTCGCGCGCACATCCATTTTCCTTATCAAATTTCCCGAGAGCAGCGACAAACTAAATAGGAGACTGGTCGTGATTCGACACCGGGAATTTCTGTTCCCGGCCTCTTTATAGCTTCGGAGAACGGATCGTCGTTGAGAAGTTCGGATCAGGAGAACTGGTTCGATGAGACCGGCCATTCCGAGGCCTTCAAGGACGCGCGCGCGGTTCTTGCGAACGGACTCCACCGAGAGCTGGAAGATCGATCAACTTTATCGTCAACTTCTGCGCGATCCACCGTGAAGAGTTCTTACGTTCTTTTCGCCGTTGTCCGGTCTCGCTGTGAGGGCCGATGGAAGCTGCAATTTTGCAAGTCGCCGCGATCCTCGTCCCCTGTGCGGTATCTGCAAGGCTGACGATGCAGCTAACTGTACACCGCAATTTCCTGAAACGTGCGCGTCGCGATCCGCCGGACAATTGATTTTAATTCGAGGCCACGCGAGCCCGGGCGTACAGTTACGCGACTCTTTCGCGGAAACCGCGTCGATTTTCGTCGAAAATCGGTCTCCAGATGTTCCAGGGGACTGGACAGACTCGTCTTTACATCGGTCGACGAGAACACGATGGAGATTAAAGCTAGACCGAGGAATTTCTTCTGCAAAGCCGATTTCATTTCAGCAGAGACGATCGAGCCGATAAAATCGGACGAGACTTGCGAAATAAAAAGACGTTTCATTGGAAAGATCGGTTATAAAACAAAGAGCGCGGAGAATAGTCGAGGACGCAGAATCCGGGACACGTTAATCGCATTAAAGCGGACCCGGCTTATAGCGTGGGTCGTTAACATAATCTCGGAGATGATGAACTGGCACCATCGGGCTGATCCTGGGTCGTCGAACCGGGTTTACGATTGTTAGCGACGGACGCGGGTCATGTTAATTAAATCGTTGGCCGAAATTTCGTTCCGGGTTGCTTCCATGGAACCGTTAAGCGCCGGGTTTGCCGAGGGAAGACGTACAATTATCGACGATCCCGAAGTTATCTTCGCGTTCCCCCTGGAAGGGAATATTAAAATCGAATATTCGAAAACATGTTTTGCTCGACAACCGACGGACACTGTTTTCGGCCAATGGGTCGTTACCATTTCTTCCGAACGGTAATTATCGAGAGAACGAGGATGAGGTTCATTCTCGAGACGCTTCGAGCGAGTCTTGAGTGACAGCGGATGATGGCACCGTACGAAACTGTCTACAAATTCGCCGAGAGACTTCTTATCGAACTGTCATTACCGTCACGCTGGTATCATCGTCGTTTTTCGTCGTTCGCAGCGCGTTTTCGGCATTCGTCGACGTGCCGGAGTTTACTCGATAAATGTTTGCGATCGGCAACGGCCGGTGGTCCTCGGCGAAACGACCATAAATCGCTGACGATCTACAGCCGCCGATAATTATCATCGGTCCGAGTGGTCGTGCATCATCCACTCGCGTAATAATTACGGGTACTTCTGGGCAAATGGTGTTTAACCAAGGCCGTCGTCGATCAATTACGATAAAAAAAAGGCCGCGTTACTGTTTTCACGCGACGCGCGTCGTCGACGATTCCCGCCGCGAAAATATTCGCGCTGCTGTATTTGCGCAGACAAATATCGTACGGACGTTATTAAAGAGAAAACACTACGCGACTTATACAGCTCGATAAATAAAGTCTGCGCGGAGATGTTTGTCCAAACGAAGGCTGCGCAGAAAATTGAGGCTTGTATATGGCCGACTAATGCGCCTGTCCATTACGCGCAGCTTCCACTTGGAAACACCGACGGCTGTGCGGCTCGTTCTCTTCGACCTTGAGGCAACCGGCCGTGCAATTTGCAATTAGCGAAAAACTTCCTCGAAAGCGTGCCGCGGATATTTTTTTTCCACCGGCGACCACACGAAGACATGTACGTTCGTCTCGGAACGCGAGAGATGCCCGAGCCAGTTTTCGATCCCAGGAACGTCCCCGGGCAAAAATTACAACCGAGACTTTCTTCGTCAATTCCGGAGCACTTGGTCTTCCGACAAGCCTGCTTGGAATGCGGACCGCGGACCGTGTCCTCCTGTTTTTCGCGCGATCCCCACCCGAATCGGGAACATAACGTCGATTTGTATTCAAAGGACGGGCCCCGTGTGAACGGGCTCCGAAGCCTCTCGGGCCGCGAAATGTTTCATTCAACGGGCAAAGGCGATTCGCCCAAATCGCTCGGGCCATTTGAAAACATCCTCGTGCTGATCCCGGGTGATCCACGACCTGCGTGATCCAGAGGCGCCTAACATCTGCTCGTAAGACGCTATTCTCTGCGATCGAATCACCATCCTCCGCGATAAAAAGAGAGCAAGTACATCGGTTAAAGAGTCTCTCGAGTGATAACAGAAACGCTTGGAACAACATCGTCGGCATTAATTGCTCGGACATTGAGTAGTGTGGCTGGTAGATTTTTGTCGAGTTCGAGCATCCGATTACGATAGAAAGAAGCGATAAACTTGGCACCGTCTGCTAAACAGGAGACAACCACACTGGCAGCGACCGAACCAGATCTGGTCGTTATTCCAAACGACTTTGACGCGTCGCACAAGCAGCAATGAATTACGAGTGCGAGAGGCGTTCAAGCGGCGGTCGTAAAGTTTCCTACGCTCGCTGCCAGCAAAGCATAGTTGTCCATTCAGGTTCGTCTCGGCGCGGTGGGGATCCGCGAGCAAACAGCGTGGTAATACCCTAAGTAAATACAACACGGTTAACGACGCTCGTCCGTAGCTCGGACTATTATTTCAGTATCACAGTATCTACGAAGTAACGCGGGTTCCGTCCATTGAATAAATCCCGCCCCGTTCCGCGGTGACTCGATCCACTCCAATGTCACGATCGCCGACACTGACATTGACTCTGCTCGCGAGTTATGTCACCGAGCTCTCTTTCCCTCTCTCTCTCGATCTCTTCTGCTCCTCAGGAGAGCCGAGAGAAACCGCATTCCCGGGTTATGTCACACCGTTCATGCAATCCTCTTTTCGCCGGAGAGACCAACAGGAGAAAGGATCGTAGAAGTTTCCAGCTTCTCGACAGGCTCTCTCTCTCTCTCTTGCTCTCTCCCGCTCTCTCGTTTCGTCCCGGTAGGATTTATCGTCGTTCCTTTCGTCGGCTGTGTACACGCATCCCGACCAGTCGTAGGTCGTGCACCGTGCAATTCGTTACGAAGTTGCGCTGCCGGCGCGCCGCGACGCCGATGATATTTATGGCGCTGGATCCAGTGCATCTCGTTGCATATCGCCGCGTATTGCGTATCCTGCATTGGCGGAGGTCCTGCGAGAGTAATAGGCCCATATACAATGGAAGTCTGATGAATGGCCGCGGGTTTTATGAGACTTAATGCTGTCCGGCGTCGAGTGAATCATTATCCTCGAACCCGCGTTGGCTCGGTCGATTAGGACCCAGCGAGGACCTTCGGGGGACCGTTCGAAGAATGCTCCCTGGTCTCGCAATGTGTCCTGCACGGCTTTTCCCAGGTGTCCCGCGGCGCTACTTTTTCGATTAAGTCCGGAGACCTCGGCGAATCCGCCGAATTAATAATGCTACCCGAGACGCTGATTTCTTAATGCGTGGGCGTCTCCGAATGTTCCGAAATCTGCAGAGATTGGAACAAGAGACGCGTCGCGGGCCCGAGAATGAAATTCGTGGATCTCCGCCTATGAGAGGTCTGTCGGCGGCGTGTGTGGGTGTAGATTGCGGATCGAGGTGCAGGCCGAAGGCAAAGAGTAACTCGGCTGGTCCTTTTTCCGCGCTTCATCTCGATAAACCGAGGAATTGTGGACTCGCGGCGGCATGCCTCGCACGATATCGTCTCCGATGAGCAATAAGATTAACTTCGCGGGATGTGATATTCTCTGACAAAGGCCGACCGGCTACTGCTTCATACGATACTCCTTCGGAAATCAATATTTAACATTACTCGTAAACGATTCGAGTACGCACTCGTTCATAGCAACGCGTATCCGAAGGAAACATCAACGGGGATCGACAATATTTATCTTTAGGCTGGTTCGCACGCGACAATCGTCTTGATCCTCGTTAGCTCGATCTTTGCCAGGGATCATCGAACAAAGTGGTAGGAGAGGCACGGTGGAATTTAGAAGTAACTCATGATCATTCAACATACACGTCGGGCCGATCATCCGAATTCAGCTCACGGCTACGCTGATTTACCGATTCGCTGAAACAACCTATCAAGTCTGATCATTAAAGGTGTGCCGGAAATCAATTCTAGCGTAACTGTACAGCAAACCTAGGCGCGAAGCCTAGCGTTCGACACGTGGATCCGTCGATTGGTGGGCTGGAAAATCGGGGCCGGCGGAACGGGAATCGTTTGATCCTGGATCGTCGATCACGCGGGAGAGGTAGCAAGGTCAGGGGATCCGACAGTTAGGATCCTTGGTGACGGGGAAGTTTGGACTTGGGCCAACCAGAACGTAGGAGTAACTGTGAGCGGCCGTTCGCTTATCTTCGCCGGTTTATGCGAAATTCTCAAGTGTGGAAATCCACGCCTCTCGTCCCAGAAAACGATGCAGATTACGTCACGTTGTATTATCCCGTTAAGATGATAGGGTCTGCGAGGTATCGCGTGCTGCCGCACGCTCACTGTCGATTCACCCGTCGAAACGGTCAGAGGCTTCTGCGTAATGGCGTGACACTAACCCTTCATTAGCGGGACGGTTTTCAGCACAATTCGGTGTCGTTCCGGAGGCAGGAAGCGTCCAAACGAGTATATCGGAATAAATAGCTAGTCTAGGATCTCGTCGATTTTGAAAGGCAATTATACTAACATACCCGGCCCGGTGGTTCCAGCGTCGATGGACAGTGTTACAAATCGAACCGTTTCTTTTGTTCGCAGACGAGATTCGAGTCATGTGGTCAGGACTTGGAACGCTGGGAGTCCTGCTGGCGCTGAGTTTGCACGCGAGGGCCGGTAAGCCTCGGTGATTTCCATGCGGAATTCCCGTGGAATATTCATGGTTCGAGGTTCAGAGCTATAGATGCAGGCCGAGCTGTCTTTTTAAGGAGCGCGTTTGAACAATCTATTTTCCTGACACGTCCATTTAGAGTCCTGCTCAGTGGAGCGCGTGATGCGTTTACTGATTTCATGGGGCATCGCTAGTATTTTTTCCCTGCAATCCCCGGGGACCGCACCGGCGTCGCGTTGTTGCGTTTATCGTTGTTGTTGTTGATGGTGCCACCGTCGTCAAACTGGTTCCAACCGAGACGCGCAGCCTTGAACGGATCGGGGGATACTTTGCCGGGGAAAAATACCAAACCGGCGAGCGTTGCTGTATCTGACGGAGTGGATCTCTCCCCGCGAAGATCTCCCAGTCATTTTTCCCCGGGAAAAGTAAACATTTATCGCTATCTTTGATAAACGGCGGCTGTTAAAGCAACACGGACACCTCGAACCATCCTCGGTCGTCTTCACCGTGATTTATCCCGATGTTCGCCACTGGCTTATTTCTAGATCCCTACAACTATATCCAGAGTCAGTATAGGCAGAGCACCGACAATGGGTTCGCGTGCACGAAGGAAGGATATTATCCCAATCCTCGCGACTGTAGGGTCTACTACAGATGCGTCGATTGGGGCAACGGCAGTCCGTTGACCACCTTCAGGTTTGAGTGCGGAGTCGGCACGGTGTTCTCCAAGGCCAGGGGCGACATTTGCACCCACCCGAATGATAGCGGAAGACCGGAGTGCGGCGGGAACGAGAACGAAATCGACTCGAACGTCCCTAATTCGCAGGAAACATCATCGACGCAATGGACGTCGGCGCCGGTTGTGACCACTACGATAACAACTACGCCACCCACGACTACTAGTCAAAGTACCACGACGACGACAACTAGACGACCGTCTACAACTTTATCGACTACCAGAAGTCCAGCTACTACTACTAGAGGACCGTCGACGACCAATCGACCAGCCGAAGATCCCGCAGGAAGCGGCACAGGCAGTCCTCGATGCACGCAAGAGGGATTCCTGTCGGATCCAAACGATTGTAGAAAGTTTTACAGATGCGTCGACGAGGGGTCCGGCAAATTTATTAAGTATGAGTTCACATGCGGGGCTGGAACTGTCTGGGATCCGGAGATTCAAGGGTGTAATCATGCTTGGGCGGTAACACGGGAAGATTGTAAAGAAGCCTCGCCGGGCGCCGGCGGTGTCGATAATAGTGGACAATGGAACGGAGATAACGGTGGACAATGGAATGGAGATGCGGGAGATAATGGCGGACAATGGAATGGTGATACGGGAGATAATGGCGGACAATGGAACGGTGATACGGGCAGTCCGGGACAGCCCGGAGACCCTAATGGTCAACCAGGACAACCTGGAGACCCTAATGGTCAGCCTGGACAACCTGGAGACCCTAATGGACAGCCTGGCCAACCTGGCGACCCTAATGGCGAACCTGGATCACCGGGGTCACCTGGAAGCCCTGGATATCCCGGTGAACCTGGATACCCTGGAAGCCCTGGATATCCCGGTGAACCTGGATACCCTGGAAGCCCTGGATATCCCGGCGAACCTGGATATCCTGGAAGCNCGCTAGTATTTTTTCCCTGCAATCCCCGGGGACCGCACCGGCGTCGCGTTGTTGCGTTTATCGTTGTTGTTGTTGATGGTGCCACCGTCGTCAAACTGGTTCCAACCGAGACGCGCAGCCTTGAACGGATCGGGGGATACTTTGCCGGGGAAAAATACCAAACCGGCGAGCGTTGCTGTATCTGACGGAGTGGATCTCTCCCCGCGAAGATCTCCCAGTCATTTTTCCCCGGGAAAAGTAAACATTTATCGCTATCTTTGATAAACGGCGGCTGTTAAAGCAACACGGACACCTCGAACCATCCTCGGTCGTCTTCACCGTGATTTATCCCGATGTTCGCCACTGGCTTATTTCTAGATCCCTACAACTATATCCAGAGTCAGTATAGGCAGAGCACCGACAATGGGTTCGCGTGCACGAAGGAAGGATATTATCCCAATCCTCGCGACTGTAGGGTCTACTACAGATGCGTCGATTGGGGCAACGGCAGTCCGTTGACCACCTTCAGGTTTGAGTGCGGAGTCGGCACGGTGTTCTCCAAGGCCAGGGGCGACATTTGCACCCACCCGAATGATAGCGGAAGACCGGAGTGCGGCGGGAACGAGAACGAAATCGACTCGAACGTCCCTAATTCGCAGGAAACATCATCGACGCAATGGACGTCGGCGCCGGTTGTGACCACTACGATAACAACTACGCCACCCACGACTACTAGTCAAAGTACCACGACGACGACAACTAGACGACCGTCTACAACTTTATCGACTACCAGAAGTCCAGCTACTACTACTAGAGGACCGTCGACGACCAATCGACCAGCCGAAGATCCCGCAGGAAGCGGCACAGGCAGTCCTCGATGCACGCAAGAGGGATTCCTGTCGGATCCAAACGATTGTAGAAAGTTTTACAGATGCGTCGACGAGGGGTCCGGCAAATTTATTAAGTATGAGTTCACATGCGGGGCTGGAACTGTCTGGGATCCGGAGATTCAAGGGTGTAATCATGCTTGGGCGGTAACACGGGAAGATTGTAAAGAAGCCTCGCCGGGCGCCGGCGGTGTCGATAATAGTGGACAATGGAACGGAGATAACGGTGGACAATGGAATGGAGATGCGGGAGATAATGGCGGACAATGGAATGGTGATACGGGAGATAATGGCGGACAATGGAACGGTGATACGGGCAGTCCGGGACAGCCCGGAGACCCTAATGGTCAACCAGGACAACCTGGAGACCCTAATGGTCAGCCTGGACAACCTGGAGACCCTAATGGACAGCCTGGCCAACCTGGCGACCCTAATGGCGAACCTGGATCACCGGGGTCACCTGGAAGCCCTGGATATCCCGGTGAACCTGGATACCCTGGAAGCCCTGGATATCCCGGTGAACCTGGATACCCTGGAAGCCCTGGATATCCCGGCGAACCTGGATATCCTGGAAGCCCTGGGTCACCTGGATCACCTGGATCACCTGGAACTCCTGGATCACCTGGATCACCTGGAACTCCTGGATCACCTGGATCTCCTGGATCACCTGGATCATCTGGTTCACCTGGTTCACCAGGTACGCCCGGAACCCCTGGATCTCCTGGATCACCTGGATCACCTGGTTCACCAGGGACGCCTGGAACCCCTGGTTCTCCTGGTTCACCAGGGACGCCTGGAACACCTGGTACACCTGGCAGCCCAGGTACTCCAGGCTCACCCGGTTCGCCTGGCAATCCTGGAAGCCCTGGTACACCAGGTAGTCCTGGCACACCTGGCACACCAGGAACTTCTGGAACCCCTGGTACTTCTGGCACCTCAGGAACACCTGGCACTCCTGGCACTCCTGGTTCTTCAGGAACCCCTGGTAGTCCTGGCACGTCTGGTTCCCCAGGAACCCCTGGCACATCTGGCACACCTGGCACTCCCGGCAGTCCAGGTTCGCCTGGCACACCTGGAACTCCCGGCACACCAGGTTCACCTGGCACACCTGGCACACCTGGCACTCCCGGCACTCCAGGTTCTCCTGGCTCTCCTGGCACTCCTGGAACTCCTGGTAGTCCTGGTAGTCCTGGTACTCCTGGTACTCCTGGCAGTCCTGGAAGTCCTGGCAGCCCTGGCAGTCCTGGCAGTCCTGGCAGTCCTGGCAGTCCTGGCAGTCCTGGCAGCCCGGGCAGTCCTGGCAGTCCTGGAAGTCCTGGCAGTCCTGGCAGTCCTGGCAGTCCTGGCAGTCCTGGTAGCCCTGGCAGCCCTGGCAGTCCTGGTAGCCCTGGCAGCCCTGGCAGTCCTGGTAGCCCTGGCAGTCCTGGTAGTCCTGGTACTCCTGGTTCCCCTGGCACTCCTGGTTCCCCTGGCACTCCTGGCACTCCTGGTACTCCTGGAACTCCCGGTTCCCCTGGAACTCCTGGTTCTCCTGGTTCCCCTGGAACTCCTGGTTCTCCTGGAACACCTGGGAACCCTGAAACTCCTGGCACACCTGGTAATCCAGGTACCCCTGATAGCCCTGGCACGCCTGATAACTCTAGTTCTCCTGGCACACCTGGTAGTTCTAGTTCTCCTGGCACAGCAGAACCCTCTGGCACTGATAGCACCCCTAGTAGCCCGTCAGGTATTTTAGTCTTTGCTGGCACTTATGATAGTTTCATACCTTCATAATTGCAAATGTCATGATTCAGTATCTGTTGTAGGTACACCAGGGACCTGTACGGAGGAGGGATTCTTCCCAGATCCGCAGAACTGCCGCAAGTTTTATCGTTGCGTTGGCAGTGATTCTACGTTTATTAAATACGAATTCGAATGCGGTGCTGGAACCGTCTGGGATCAGTCTATTCAGAGTTGTAATCATGAGTCTGCTGTTCCTGATTGCAAAGGTGGGTCGATCTCGACTTCTTCTCCAGGCTCTGCAGATTCTTCCAGCAATCAATCTCCCGATGGAACAACTAGTCGACCAGGTACAAATCAAACTGAAACAAGCACAGCATCATCTGCACCGTCATCTAGTAGCACAGTACCTGCCCAAACGACTGTTACACAATCGAGCACTAGCACAAGCACTTCAGAAGCACCTACTTCTACTGTTTCTCCATCAACCGTGACTTCATCGAGCAATTCACCCACTTCCTCGTCGACAAGCCAGTCAAGTTCTACAAGCCCTACAACAAGCCCTATAACAAGCTCCACAACAAGCTCCACAACAAGCTCTACAACAAGCTCCACAACAAGTTCTACAACAAGTACCACTCCAAGTCCTACAACAACTTCAACAGCATCGTCCACGGACCAAGGCAGTACAGGCAGTTCTACTATCATCGCTGCGGATACAACCGAATCTGTACCTCCTGAAAGCACAACTGCATCCAGCACGCAATCAACGGCAACTACAAATCCATCCTCAGGTTCATCGGAGTGCACGGAAGAAGGTTTTTACCCCGATCCAGAGGACTGCCACAAATTCTACCGTTGTGTCGGCAGCAATTCTTCGTTCATCAAGTACGAATTCCAATGTGGTGCTGGAACAGCCTGGGACTCCAGTGTGCAAAGCTGCAATCATGAATCTGCTGTGTCAAGCTGTCAAGGTGGATCCAGCTCGTCCGCAACAGATTCATCTTCCAACGAAGTCGAAGGAACTACCAGTCAACCTCCCACCAGCTCATCGTCTGCACCATCGTCCAGTAGTCAAGCACCACCGTCTTCGTCGAGCACCCAAGCACCGTCTACTTCATCGAGCACCCAAGCACCGTCTACTTCATCGAGCACCCAAGCACCATCCACTGCATCGAGCACCCAAGCAACATCAACTTCATCGAGCACCCAAGCACCATCCACTGCATCAAGCACTCAAGCACCATCAACATCATCGAGCACCCAAACCTCATCATCCAGTAGTCAGACAACTGCTACGTCGCCAAGCAGTTCCACCAGCCAACCATCCAGCAGCCCATCAACCATTCCATCATCCTCTAGCACAGCAACCACTGCACCACCTAGCAGTTCCTCGGTAGCCTCGTCGACAGCACCGTCTTCGTCTGAACCAAGCACAAGCACTGAATCCACAACTTCAGGTGTTACAGAATCAGTTTCGTACCTACCTCCCACAAATCCAACGAGTGCCACATCGAGCACTAAAGCTCCTGGAAGCGATTCATCGCCAGGATCATCCCAGTGCTCGGAAGAAGGATTCTTCCCGAATCCAACGGACTGCACGAAGTTCTATCGTTGCGTGCACAGTGAGAACGGCTTCACGAAATACGACTTCAGTTGCGCAGAGGGCACGGCCTGGGATCAGTCTCTCCAAACTTGCAACTATATCGAGCAGGTAGCTTCTTGCTCGACGGAGAGCAACGAAATCGATCATGGTCCCACTGGAAGCACACCATCGTCTGATTTGACGCCACCGGATACAGGCTCTAGCCAGACTACGGTTACCACGGCTGCAACCACGGCTGCAACCACAGCTGCAGCTACACCGAGTAGTACACAATCTGATACAACCGAATCGTCAACGTCGAGCCCAGGTTCGAGTACTTCCAGCTCCGAATCCTCCAGCACGGAACCTGCGAGCACCGAGAGTTCATCTTCTACCTCTCAATCGAGCACAGCATCTTCTTCCAGCGGCTCGGACTGCACCACGAAGGCGCCCAACAACACGATAGTTTGCGAGAAGGAGGGTTTTTACCCTAATCCAACGCAATGCGACAAGTTCTACCGCTGCGTCGACAATGGAAACGGATTCAACGTGTATCATTTCAACTGTCCACCCGGAACTATCTTCGATCCCAGCATCAGCGTCTGCAACTACCCTGAATCGGTCTACCCCGCGAGAGACTGCCAGACGTCTTCCTCGACTCCCAGCAGCTCAACCGAAGGTTCTACGACAGAAGCCGAGAGGATCACCGAATCTTCGACGTCGACGACATCCGAGGAGGAACCTACTTCCACAGAATCGACCACGGAATCTACGACGGAGGCTAGCACGGAGTCTACGTCGGAAGCTAGCACGGAGTCTACGTCGGAAGCTAGCACGGAATCTACTTCGGAAGCTGCGTCTGAATCCACCACGCAATCTACTTCGGAAACTACCACCCAGTCTACTTCAGAAGCTACCACGGAATCTACGACAGAATCGACCACGGAAAGTACTTCTGAAGCTACCACGGAGTCCACGACAGAATCTACCACGGAGTCCACGACAGGATCGACTACAGAGTCTACATCCGAGGCTACCACAGAGTCCACCTCTGAGACTCCGAGCTCCGAGTCCACAACCGAGTCCACAACCGAGGCGACCACCGAATCTACCTCCGAAGCTGCGTCCGAATCTACCACAGAGTCTACGTCCGAAGCGACCACGCAGACCAGCACAGAGTCTAGCTCCGAAGCTACCGAGTCATCTACCGAATCAACGTCTGAAACGCCTGACAGTACTACAGAGTCTTCGGAGCAGACTACCGAGACCACGGAGTCAACTACTCCGTCTTCGGCGACACCCTGTCCAATCGGAAACCTAACCGATGAACAGATTGTGCTGGTCTGTCCAACCGGTTTCCGAAGGCATCCGAAATACTGCAACCTGTTCTACCAGTGTACCAGCGAAGGTAACATGGAGATCAAGGTGCTGGTGCTGAGCTGTCCGGAGAACACTGTCTTCGACGAGAAAAGGATACAGTGTCTGCCTCAGAATCAGACCAGCCAGGCCTGCGAAGGCACTATCGCCAGCGGCAGATTCTACAGAAAATTGGAGGAGAGTCCTGTGTCACCGGTAAGTGTACGCCTTTACGCGTTTATCCTTGAACAATCTCGGTGCTTCATCGATCCATTAAATGATCAATCTGTGTCTGCTTTCAGATCAAGGTATCGACCGAACGACTTTGTCCAGGAGAAGGACATTATCCTTACAGGCAAGGCTGCAGCAACACGTTCTACAAGTGCAAACGCGACTCCAGGGACAATCTTCAAGGTTATTTGTACAAGTGCCCACAGAATTTCTTATACTGGTCGGTGTCGAGAAGATGCGAACGCGCGACGCGATTGCTGATGTGCTCTCACCTGTCTTACAGAACGAAGAGCGAATACTGGGATAATCGATGGCAAATACCTGTCGAAGATTACAATCTCTCGGCCAGAAGCCTGCGTATCTTTTAATCATGCTTCGACTTGCTAGAATTTGTTTGAAAGAGACAGTGTAACTCTCAGGTCGTTTTCCGATATTGTTTTACGATTTCTGAGGACGTTAGACATAGAAGAGAGAAGGGAGTAATCGATCGTTAGAAGATAGATGAAATACGTTCGCAACATGGCTGTGGAAGATCCTGTGCCGATAGATCTTCGGCAGCCATCTTGTCGTGATTTATAATCAATTAGAACGGAATCGCTGGTCCTTTTGGTGACGACGACCAGCGAATCGATATTTTTCAGCAATTTTTCCCATCGAACAATGGAAAAGTTGCTGGAAAAAGCGTTGGGGTTTTGGTTGTGGGACTCGTATGCAATACGCAGCTGAATTCAGTTATTTATACTGTCTCTTTGTATTTATTAAGCTAATTGTATTCGATCTTGCGTGAGTGTATAATGATTTGCGAACGATAGAAAGACATAGTGACATGAAATTTTCACAGAAGAATACGCTTGGACGCGAGGAAATTTGTTTGTTGACCGCGGAAATCGGTGTTCGCAGACTCAGCGCCATTTTCTGAATACAGTACAAAGTATCAGTAGCCTTGGAAAGACGATCGTGTACATAATTGCAGTTTAATGATGCTAATCATTGCTTCCTCTAACGAAAACGCTGCAGACCTTTCTTAACGTCGCTCCGCAACGTCGAGATTGCGAGACGACGTCGGTGCTAGATACTTAAATGTCGAAAATAAGGAAGTTCGACGGATTCCACGTAATTTAGAGTAGATTATTATACAGTATAATTGTCGAATTGTGCATGAGTACCGAGTGCGTTTGTATTAGATCTCTTTACGAACTGATATAAATAAACGGTAAGATTCTCAACGCGCTGTGTTTTTGTCCTTTTTAAAACCTGAACTCCTTAAACTGTGAATTTTACAGATTATTAATTACTGCAAATTAATTTCAAAAGAATCCAATGAGAAGCAATCCTTTAAGCTGTTCGTAAAAAAATTAAAATATTAATAATCCGGTTTTTTATGATAAATTGTTTCATTAGTAGTCACATAAGAATATTAAAATAACATGACTAGAAATAGCATAAGAAATAATTATTAAATTCAAAAATGAAAATGAACACTGAACGTGGTTGGTGGTGCCATCTTCTGGAGAAAGTGGGAAACTTGAAAACAGAGAAGAACTGAAATACCTCCTGAATTGATTTTTATTAGAATGTTTTTTCTTATTACTCCATGCGTCGATTTCGTGCTATAAAATCGAAAAATTATTGTATTTTTAGAAATTTCAATGATATCGATTCGATTGGTACCTGAATAATCCTTTTATTAATTTATTGCGCGTCTTATTTTTAATCGAGTACAAACATTAAAGCCCGTCGACTATTTTAACATCAATAATAATTAATTTAAATGAATTCTTTAATTGCCAATAAAGCGATGTTCTATACATTACTGATGACAATTGTTAATTCGCAATATTGATCCAGGAGAATACAACAAACGATCTGACAACACTGAAAATTTGAATTTATTCCTCGTCTGTCTAAAATTTTTTGTATACATCGTAGAATAGGAATCAATAAGAAAAAAGTACAATACATATTAGTCATTGACTATTGGACTGTCGGACTGCGGTGGATAACCATTTTAACCGTTTACGACGTGAGACGTAACTCATATTTGGCTACATGTCAGTATAGCAGTGCCATCGACGGTATAGGTGCTGATAACAAAATCAAATTAAACAATATCCTTTTTTTATACGTGTTTAGTGCAACTTAAAAAATGAAGATGAATCAATGATCACAATAATGGAGATAATATTAACTGATTAAACACTATAGGCATATATAAAGCTTTTAATGTTAGATCAAAAGAATAAATATATATATCTCAGGCAGCCACTATTAAAATTAATGGACATGAGATTAGCTACAGTGAAAAAATAGACACAGAGAATTATCACGTGTACCTCGTTTACCTCATTATAAAAGAAATGAATAGTATGAGCATTCAACTTCAAGCTCAAGGTCTTTAAAAAACTGATGTAGTATGCCATCACCTCTTCATCACTGAAGTCAAATTTGTGCACTATTATACTGTTTACATGATTATTACTGAGCAAGTAATCTAAAACAGAAAGGAATACCTTAGCATTCGAATACTCCAAATTCAGAAGGTCTCGACTAAGCTTATCTATCAATATGTACAAGAAATAATTCTTTCAAGAACTTACATAAGGAAGTCTCATTACGTATATTTTCAAACAATATATTCAGTGTCTGTAGCAATTGAACACATACATAGCTTCCACATTTTTGTTTCATAATTCGTAAAAAGAATGAAAGCATGTTTTTCTCCAAAAAGAAACTGGGGATAGGAAATAAGACTATTAATTGTAATACAAAAAAATTGATGTTGAGTGAATGCTCTTATTAATTATACTTACTCGAATACACTACTATCATTTTGGTCACCCCATATTAAAATTTCAGCTATAGAACGGAGAATCTCTACCAATAATCCTCTATTATTCTCAAACACAGTCTGATTCCTTGATAGGACATTGTACAAATACCTATGGACAACAAGATAATAAGCATAAAACGCAGATATTGTAACATGTATACATACTTGAGGTGCTCCAAAGAGTGTGGATTCTTGGGCTTCCAGAGCCCTCCTCCAAACCAGCTTCGGCTTCGAAACATTTTTTAATTATATTGCGATCGCATTTGGGTGGTGGCCTGCGATAAATTCATTTTTCGCTATCTTTTATCGCTAAGGAAGAGTATCAATCTTTGTTAATACGATTAGGATCATAGGGGTTTTTTCATGCGAATCCTTGCGCATTGAAATCTTCGTAAACGTCGAAACAATTATCAAAATAGAGCCAAAAGTCAACACATTGTTCAGGTTAGACTTCTTGTTTTCGCATTGAGCATTCTTATCATTGTTTTAATAACTAATTACTCTGTTACTTGCAAATTTACACTTACTTTTCTTATACATTTTTTTCTCGTACCATAAACAGTTTTTCGAGGTAATGTTAGATCACACACGTAGAATTTTGCGCGACGCAAAACGTAGCCCAGCCTCCATTACTGAACGGACTATGGAATCACATGTTAGGTTACTTCGTTGTCAGTTGCCGTTATTATTTCTATAGATTTCGTGTACGAAAGTGCGTTAAATATGAATCAAAGTGTATTTCCCTTTTTGCGAATCAAAATTTATTTAGATTGTACCTACCAATACGTATGAAACAAAGTTGTCAAAGAACGATGAAAACACGTCGATACTAGAGCAGATGAGTTTATTGACAATTAACAACATACGTGCCAGAATATCTATAATTAAGAAATTTCAAATGAATCATTAATCATGAGAGTGCTAGAATTATATAGTGGTATCGGGGGAATGCATTACGCGTTTCAAGGTAAGACACTCTGTTATTACCTGTACAGACATATATTGTTTAGAAACACCTAACCTACATTAGTCAATGTGGTTTCTCCATTAGATATAAATAAATATAAAATAATTATTTGTATTTCCAGAAAGTGGTGTTAATGGGGACTGTGTTACAGCAATTGATATAAACACTGTTGCAAACGATGTGTACAAACACAATTTTCCACATGTTTGTCTCATGAATCGCAATATTCAGTCAATTACTGCAGATGAAATAAATAGTCTGCATATAGACACTATATTAATGAGTCCTCCTTGTCAACCATATACAAGGATAGGCCTCCAAAAAGATGTATCCGATAATAGGTCTTCTTCATTACTCTATGTACTTGAACTCATACCAAAAATAAAAACATTAAAATATATCTTGCTAGAGAATGTAAAGGGATTTGAGAAGTCTGAAATGAGAAATGCAGTAGTAAAATGTCTGAATAATTCCGAGTTTTATTACAGAGAACTGATTTTAAGCCCTTGTCAGCTTGGTATTCCAAATAGTAGACACAGATATTACCTGTTAGCCAAGAAAAAGAATCTCAAATTTTGTTTTGATAATGCTACATTAAATTTTGATCTACCAGAGAATATTTTAAAAACTTTAACAAGGAGGAAGCATAAATTCTTAGGAGAAAGATGTATTCAAGATATGGAGAGTAATAAGGATTGTTACGTGTTAGATAAAATTTTAGAAAATGTTGAGGATGTACAGTACCTGGTACCAAGTAAATTATTACAAAAGAGAGCTTGGGTGTTAGATTTAAGAACCTCTGAAAGTAGTGGTTCCTGCTGTTTTACAAAAGCTTATGGCCATTATGCAGAAGGTACAGGATCTGTGTATTGTCCATACTCGGAAGAAGTGATTAAAGAAGCATATTTAGCAGCGAGTAAATACGGTCGCGAAACGTTAGAAGCATTAGAGATACTAGAAAAATTGAAGTTGAGATATTTTACACCTAGGGAAATCTGCAGACTAATGTGTTTCCCAGAAGATTTTACATTTCCTGATCACATCACAAAANGATACTAGAAAAATTGAAGTTGAGATATTTTACACCTAGGGAAATCTGCAGACTAATGTGTTTCCCAGAAGATTTTACATTTCCTGATCACATCACAAAAAAACAAAAATACAGACTACTAGGTAATTCAATTAATACATATGTAGTTAGCAGATTAATATTCTTATTGCATACTGAAAAGCAATTTGTATAAATCTATACTACAGAAGTACAATATTTTTCTATAAATATAGAAAATACTGGTGAGAAAATGACAGATTCAATTACATATTCTATGTAAAAACATTCGATTTTTTTAATACAAATAAAACCGATCCATACATAGGTATATGATTTTACATATTAGTTATAGTTTTTTCAGCATCTTAAATCAGTTTATAATTAATATAATGCACAAGTGCACTATAATATTTATCTGCATTTCAACTGCTTCAGGGTGCAACTCTTAAACATTATGTAAATTTCATATAGATTTATTAATTATTCAATACTTTTGTCACTTCCCAGTGCATCAAGCATTGTGATCTATTTTAAATAGTTTCCAATTCTGGTGGAATGTGAATCTTCTTCTCTGCTGCAAATTTCTTCAATGCTTGGTATTTTGAGTGCCAAGACTCTACTTCCTCTCTCATGCGGTTATTGTCATCTTGCATAGTTTCCATATCCCGGTATTCCTGTGACTTCTCTGACTCTAACTCATCCTTCTGTTCAATTCTCTTAATGCGGCAACTGGCTGCATATCCTCTGTTCTTTAACGTACGTCTACGTTGTTTCATACGTACTATTTCTTCCCTTGATAAACCACGTAATTTAAGTTGCCTATTCAAATCTCTGACTGATATAGTCACCAGTTCATCGTCACTAATATCTAAACAGGGGCCAGGTGAAAGAGGATCCTATACAGATAAATAGAGATTGTCCTAATTTACATGGTTATATAAGAGATGCTGGTGCCATTACCAGAAAAAACTTTATTAAGAAGGAAATAACGCTCATGGAAGGTAGTAAAAAAGGGGAATTAATGTAAGTTTAATTTTCTGCGTGTCATAGTTGTGTATTTCGAATAGCTACGTAAAACATAAAGGAAACATAGGAGACGACAATGCATGCGATGGTATTGCAACATACCATTTTTATAGAACGCTTTCCATCCATAGGTTTCCCAAATGATGAAATTTCTCAAGTTCCAACATCGAGCAGCCACCGAGGCTTCGATTTTCCGCTAGCTTTTACGCTTTCAGGAAAAATTTGCTTAGTCATT